CAGTTATGGAGTTTAGTTAATTGATTACTTTCTTCTGGCTTCATCGATAAATACAACTGAGTATCATCCGCATAACAATGGAAATTTAAAGAGTGATGTCTAATGATGTAACCATGTGTAACCTGTGGTCTCATGTGATTAATAACCATGTGTGTAACCTGTGTTCTCTGCAGCTCTCTGGTCTCTGGTGTGGTTCGTGGGGTTCTGTTTTCTGGCCAATCAGTGGCAGGTTTCTAAAGAAGAAGACAACCCTCTGAATGAAGGCGCTGATGCCGCCAGAGCAACCATTGTCTTCTCCTTTTTTTCTGTCTTCACCTGGGTACGTACCTGAACTACATCACCTGACAGAACACCACTCACCTGAGGAAGTATCAGGACACTCTGCTACCACCTGGTGGTTTAATGCTCACACTGCACTGTAGTATGAAGTACTCACAGAGTACAGTACTGTTCATGTGGTCAGAACTCTCCGACACGACTGAAGTGACTCGTGCACAGTCGAGTCAGCAGCTGTGACATCACTCATGATGTAAATACATCAACATAATACAGTGCTGCAAACATCATGTGACAGATCACAGCACAGCTGCATGCTGGGTAAACCTGACCTCATGGGCTGTGATGGCAGACAGATGAACCTGTAGTGAATTTTAACAAAACAAAATATCTAAGTGAGCCACTGAGGGGTGAACATGTTACGGGCGTGTTTCTGGGCTGAGAATGAACCGATGTCCAGTGAGTGTTATGTGTTTGGATCTGTTTATTCTCAGTGTAATACACACATGACACAGAACAGCGCCATCCAAATTCAAATCATTATTCCTCTCAGCAGATTAAGTCTTCCACACTGACACTTCATGATGCCACTTCACACGGAAAAGTTCAGATCAATACAAACAGATTTGATGGGAGAAACTCTGACCCATGCTTGTGGACATTTTGGAGACAACGCAGATGGTGAGGTGGAGCCTGACTGTAGAAACGTTTTTTTTTTTTTTGTCCGTATGAACATTTTTTGTCTGGATTGTTTTATAAATAAGACCCTGATTCCCCTGGAATACCTGATGGAGGCTCCACCCTGTGTTCAGTTTCAGAACTGCAGGTGGTTATTTATGTTTACCTTGTGTGTAGATGAGGATAAAATAAATAAACAAAAACATCATGGCTCCAACAAACCAATCAAACCTGGCTGATGAGGTCTTTGTTACAGATCAGGTATGGGAGTGTAACAGAATAATATAATCACATTGATCAGACAGTTTATTCTGCTCTGAGGCAGCCTGGTTCACTCTGTGGTCTCCATGTTGTGGGACAGTTTGTCCATCATCAGTCGGACATCTTACATCTCTACAATCACACATAATGGACATAAAGTTGCCGCTGGCCACAAAGATACCATCTACTGAGCTCTGAGAGCTTTTCTTATTTTAGTTTTCTCTAATCAGTTTCAGATGTTTTAAGAGTCGAGCTGCAGAGTGTCTGTCCACATAAACCCAGAGACAGTAACAGTAATGAGGAGCAGAGAGAGAACACACAGTAAAACACCACTCTGTACGTCTGCGTCTGGACATTCAGCTTTCATCATAAAACACTAGAACACAAGAACCTGCTGAAATCTAATTAACTCCACATATACACTGTTTGACAGTTCAGTGCTGGTTGAAATCAGACCACAGTGTAGATCAAGTCCTCTTCAGACTGGTTCATGTTCAAAATACTTCTGATACTACTGATAATAACAATGTTAATGAAAATACTGACAACAACAGTGATGATGATAATAATAATATGAATGCTTGTTTTGTTTTTTAACATCTGAAGCTGTGAAACGACTAAGTTAAGTCTAACCCTAGACTGAAACTTTTAATTTCATAAAACACACGTGTAACAAACATGATGCTGTTCTCCTCTGTCTGTGTGTTTGTGCTCGTTTTCCTGTTGTGGTGTGTTTGTGTGTGTGTGATGTGTTGTGTGCGTGTGATGTGTTGTGTGTGTAGGGAGGTCTCACTCTGCTGTCGTTGGAACGTCTGAAGAGAGTCTCATTTGAAGAAGAGTACAACAAACTGTTCAGCCCACCGCTCGCCTGAAACACACACACTCACTCTCACACACACACACACACACACACACACCCATCTAACTTTGCCTCTTTCCTTCAGCCATTCAGAGATGAGTGTTGTCTGTTGTTAGCTGAAGGCAGTGAGGTGTAACACGTGCTGTGTGATGTCAGAGGGCAGTATAAAGGGCAGGTGTGTGCTCAGGTACGCTCCACCTGACAGAAGTCTGTGCACACTCAATCAGACGGCGGCTGATACACAATGCAAGGATTTTATACAGAAAACGTGTTTATGATCTTTTATCAAAGATATTTTCAGTGAGTGCAGATCTTTAATTCTCGCTCAAACAGCAGGTTCCTGTTGACTTCCTGCTTTATCAGACCAGACTATGGAAACTAACACAGGTCGTTAGTTAGAGATCGACTCGCTTTCTGAGACACAAAGTCCAGTTCAGACTGAAGATTCACAACCAGACAAGTTCAGACAAACCACTACTGTCAGACCTGCAGGTTGACGGCATATGATCTGTAACATCGACAGGAAGTGACCACCATGAGAAGGCGTATCATCTCTAGTCAACGACTCTCTGTGCTTCTGATCTGTAACATCGACAGGAAGTGACCACCATGAGAAGGCGTATCATCTCTAGTCAACGACTCTCTGTGCTTCTGATCTGTAACGCGGACAGGAAGTGGCCACCATGAGACGGCGTATCATCTCTAGTCAGCAACTCTCTGTGCTTCTGATCTGTAACGTTGACAGGAAGTGACCGCCATGAGACGGCGCATCATCTCTAGTCAACGACTCTCTGTGCTTCTGATCTGTAACGTTGACAGGAAGTGACCGCCATGAGACGGCGCATCATCTCTAGTCAACGACTCTCTGTGCTTCTGATCTGTAACGCTGACAGTGGTGGGCGGGGCATAAGCACATGCAGCCAGCAGCGACCCACCGTCCGTTTCAACTCGTCTTGTTGTGAATCTTTGGTCTAAACTGGGCATCATGTTCTAAAACCAGCCGCCGGCCATTTGATCAGCTGAGTGTCAGGTGACACCGTCAGCCGGCTTGAGTCGAGCTCTGACCACTGACACTTTTCTCTGACATGTTTCATCTCGTCATGAAACTTTGGTCTGATCTGGACTTTAGAACAGACTGCTGTGATTGGCCCGTCAGCGTCGGCTGTTCATTTTAACACATATAAAATATATTTTTGCGGTCGTCTCAGTGAAACCGATCGATCATCATCGTGTTCTATGATCATGTGACGGCTGCAGACCAGACTTCCTTGAGCACGTGTTGCGCCCCATTGATATGACATCTTGACCTTTTTTTTTAGCCTCCTTGTTTCCTCGTCAGCTCAGTCTGGACTCTGATTGGCTGCTTTAAGTGCCTGTCATTTCAAGTGCCTTCCTGTTGTCATGGTGACACGTTCCAACATATGTTTTACACACCATGTGATGTGTGTTATTATTATTATCTTTATTGTTATGACAGTGATGTCATGACGTGTACGATGATGTCATTGTATATTCTGCTTAATGATGATGATGTAATGACCTGTGATGAAGATTAAAGGTGATGAACACTCAGTCATATATGAAGAGTTACTGGACTCTGTGCTGCCCCCTGCTGATGCTCTGATATCACTGCAGTCACTGTGATGTCAGCATGATGTCACAAGATCAAATAACATCAGACTTTATAGAGAAGAAATATTAAATACTTTAAATGAATAATAAATTAGAGATAAACTCTGAGATAGAGATGAGATAAAGATTAAAGACAGACGTCAGTGTGAGCTGCTGTATTTACCTGCAGAGACTCCGCCCCCTGACTGCAGGTCAGCTCTGCACAGTGAACATTTAAAATGACAGGAAGTAAGAAATGTACAAAATCTAGATAATCACAAATTAAAAAAATAGAAATGATTAAAATAATACAAAGGACTAAAAAAATAAATTATCATAAACAATAATCAGCCTCGTGTTCTCTTCAGTTTGTTGACACATTTTATTCATAAAAAATATTTATGAAAAGAACAAAGAAAAACCTGAACCTGTACCTGAACCTGAACCTGCACCTGCACCTGGACCTGAACCTGAACCTGAACCTGCACCTGGACCTGAACCTGAACCTGCACCTGCACCTGCACCTGCACCTGAACCTGAACCTGCACCTGCACCTGCACCTGCACCTGAACCTGCACCTGGACCTGCACCTGAACCTGCACCTGCACCTGCACCTGCACCTGAACCTGAACCTGCACCTGCACCTGCACCTGCACCTGAACCTGCACCTGAACCTGCACCTGAACCTGCACCTGCACCTGCACCTGCACCTGCACCTGAACCTGAACCTGTACCTGAACCTGAACCTGAACCTGCACCTGCACCTGAACCTGCACCTGCACCTGGACCTGGACCTGTACCTGAACCTGAACCTGAACCTGAACCTGCACCTGCGCCTTCACCTGTACCTGTACCTGTACCTGAACCCAAACCCGTACCCATATCTGAACCTGAACCTGAACCTGATCTGAACTGATGGTTCTCTACCGTCCCCCTATCTGGATAAGTTCCCCATTGTGATTTCCTTCCTGGTTTTGACCCTTTACCTTTGCGAGTCCAGCTTCAATGTTCAGACTTGTTGTTTTTAATTCGTTACTCTTGAACGTCTCTTGATGATGTCACTGTAACAGTGTGTTAATAAAGTTTTGTATTTGAATCCTGTGTGTCCGCAGGCTGTCCAGTGTCTGCTGGCCATCCACAGGTTTAAACTGGGAGCTGATTCAGTCACGTTCAATCAAGACTACATTGATCCCAACCAACAGGAAGCTCTGACTGAGGCCCTGTCCACTGAGGAGTAAAGGGGCGGGGCTTAGAGCTGATTGACACAGTGCTTATATTCTGTCATTGCGATGCGTTCAGGGACTCGTCCCTGACTGAGACTTCAGTGTCATGGTGACACACGTGACATGATGTTTAAAAAAAAATTCATAGTCTGATGAAAACACTTCACCAGGGGGCGTGTCCTCTCTGTTTTCAGCCAATCACAGCCCAGAAGTAAAAAGTGAGTATTCTAGTCAAAGTTTTATGTTTAACTCACGCTAATATTAGCGTGTTAGCAATAAAGGTTGAAAAAAATAGTTAGCTAGCATTAGCTTGTTAGCAATGTGATGCTACTGAACATACTATCTGTAACTGTGTCTGTTGCTAACTTTAGTCACCATGCTAATGCTAGCTTCTAGCCAACACAATAAAACAGAGCCAACTAATATTAGTAAGTTCTAATGCTAAGCTAAGCTAAGCTAAAGCTAGCATTATCAGTAATTATTATTTATTTGATGATGTTTTTATTTATTGATGAATCAAATGACAAAAATTTACAAAATAAATTGAAAATAAATTTTAAATAAAATTTAAGCCAAACAGCCAATCAGTTTCCTACAGTGAAGCGCCTTCACAATAAAAGCCTGAAAATACAAACTGAACCTGGAATGGTTTAGTAACAGTTTTTATCACAGCAGAGATCGTCTTTCTGTTTTGAGCTGTAGTCATAAAATATATATTTGGAAATGTGTTGCAGCACCTTCCATAGAAAATAAGAGGATAAGGTCGACGTCACGCCGTGGTCAATCTTGTGATGATCACGCTGTGTTACATGTGAGAGTCCATCAGGATCGTTTACACTGTAACTATCTTGTGTGTTGGGCTGAGTGCAGACAGACACACACAGAGTCACATGATGGCATCCCAGTCCCACGCAGCGTGACGTGCCTTCACATCCTCCATCAGTGGATCTAGGTTATATTCTGAAATCACATGTTAAATTTAAGTTTTCCAAAACTTAAAAAGTGTGCACAGTATGTTTGTGACATTTCATCCTACAGTGCCAGGTGCTAATGCTAACAGCTGATGCTAACAGCTGATGCTAACAGCTAATTTTTATAAACCGTTCAGTTGTGTGACCTCATTTGATAAACTGGATTCTGATTGGCTGGAGCGTCTGTATCATATCATATTCTGACAGTTGGAACAGACGCAGCGCCTCCTGGTGGTCAGACGAGTAAACAAATCTTTATTTACAGTTTGATGAATGTTTGAAGGGAAAAACAAACGGTGCTGTGAACTATGCTGGAACATGAGACACTGTGCACGTGACGCGGTGCTGCAGTAGATTTTAGTTTGTAGAAGCTTCGGTCTGTTTGTTTCATGTGTTTGTTTGTTTGTTTGTTCTGATAATAAAGTTAAAGATTGATTGTTTCATGAAACACTTTCTATGTAACTTTATTGACCTCAGTCATTTATTTGTTTATCATCACAGGAACTTAAAAACTGGTAAAAAATTAAATCATGAAATATTCTGTGAGTGAACGTGATTAAAAAGTTGATGTAATAAAACAGGAACAATAAGAAGGAAGACGTGATGACATCATTAACAGGCTCCTGTGACAGTTTCAATAACTTTATTAATCTGTTAGTTTCTGTCCGGAAATGTTTCCTGTGTTTAAGATCGACCGCTCTGATTAAAACTTTACAGCAGATCTTAAACCAGATGTGGACTGAGAGTCCTGCAGGTCCACAGGAAGTCTTCTACAGTACAGACAGTAAACCTGGTCCTGATGTGCAGGTCGACCCACAGGTCCTGCTCCCGTTGGGTGGTGTGAGGAAACTTTTTAGAATGAATTTTAATTCATTCATACACTCCTGAACTTTAATATCTCCCCTGTGTCTCAGCAAGATGTCTGCTCCTGTTCAGAACTTTTCCCAAGACATCCCCGCAACTGAGTAAATTTACTCCAGAGGAAAACATTGCAGCAGTTTCACCTCACTGAGACACGCTGAATAACTAAAACTACTGTGTCTGCATCATATCAGTGATTCTGTTTCACAGGTTGGGTTCTCACAGGACAGACAGCAGCTTCCTGTTTACAGTCATGTTTAAACCTCGACACAGTCAGAAAGGCTTAATAATCTGTAACACAGGAGGCTCTGTGTGTCATATTATCTGGATCACTATGTGTCCGAGGTTACCTTAGCATCGGCTAATATTGCCTGGGTCACTATCTGTCTGACGTTAGCTTAGCATCAGCTAACATTAACTGTGTTAGTATCTACAGGGTCATTAAACAATAGAATACGTTCTTTTTAATATTTGAGTTCATCTGTGAAGCTGCGACACAGAGTGAGTCACTGCACAGCTGAGTCAGTATGTTTACTGTGTGTGTGTGTGTGTGTGTGTTATAAAGTAGGGTAAAGGTCAGACAGATTTTCTTTCATGATGCTTTAATGTGACTCAGTTTCACATTGATACAAACAGAAATAAAAATAAATATGATATGTAGTATCAAATATAAAAAATAAATAAAAAACTTTTCAATAAATATGTAAATAAATAAAGAGATAAATAACTTGGTCAATATATAAATAGATAAATATTCTCAGTCAGCATGATAATTAGTTGGTCTTCAGTGGGCGTGACGTCTTTCCTCAGTGGGCGTGGCCTCTCCAGGTGAAACAGGTATGGTAGTGCTTCTGCAGGGCGAACTTCAGGACCCTGAGCAGATCTCTCCACAGAGCCATCCATCCACAGGCTGAGCTATCCTGAGTGACACACAGAAAAACCTGCCCCCTCAGCTCTGATTGGTCCACACACTCTGACTGACAGTCCTTTGTCCTATTGATACGATGTGTCAATATCAAATCAATCAAGTTTACCTGCTGCTGCAGAGCCGCCGTCACATGACTGAAGTACGAAGACACAACCTCTGAACCGTTAACGCTGGACAACTGGAGACAGACAGACAGAGGGACAGATGGGTCAGACAGACAGGTGGAAAGACAGACAGGTGGACAGACAGACAGACAGACAGATAGACACATGGACAGACAGGCAGACAGACAGACAGACAGATGGTCAGACAGACAGACAGAAAGACTGACAGACAAAGAGACAGTAAGACAGACAGACAGACAGACAGACAGACAGGTACTCACACAGCTGCCCTGATCCAGCAGTCGCTCCTGCAGGTGTTGGAACTTAGCGAGTTTCTGGTCGTCCCAGGTGACTTCGCCCTCTCCGACAGGTACGTCATAATCCTCAAAAATCTGCCCCACCCCCTGCAGTGATTCATACACCACCCACGATGCTTGGCGGCACTGCAAGGAACCAATCAGAGGTCAGTATTTCAAACAGCAGGCTCAGAGTGTCAAAGGCTCTGTGATTGGCTGAGAGGCTCCGACGAGGTAAGAGGCTTACCTGAGGTGTATTGGTTGTGACCGCAGGGAAGACGGAGTGTGGGAAGGTGATGTTGGCGTTATACGGCAGGCAGTGGGCAGGAAACGTCCCCTACAGGACAGACAGGAAATAGTCCAGCCTTTATCAACAACTGACCTGCAAACAGTAGCTAATGCTAAGCTACATATAGACAGATACTGACCCAGCTAATGTTAGCTAATGCTAAGCTACATATAGACAGATACTGACCCAGCTAATGTTAGCTAATGCTAAGCTACACATAGACAGATACTGACCCAGCTAATGTTAGCTAATGCTAAGCTACATATAGACAGATACTGACCCAGCTATGCTAAGCTACATATAGACAGATACTGACCCAGCTAATGTTAGCTAATGCTAAGCTACGCATAGACAGATACTGACCCAGTTCATGTTAGCTAATGCTAAGCTACACATAAACAGATATTGACCCAGCTAATGTTAGCTAATGCTAAGCTACACCTAAACATATATTGACCCAGCTAATGTTAGCTAATGCTAAGCTATACATAGACAGATACTGACCCAGCTAATGTTAGGTAATGCTAAGCTACACCTAAACATATATTGACCCAGCTAATGTTAGGTAATGCTAAGCTACACCTAGACATATATTGACCCAGCTAATGCTAAGCTAAAGCTGAGGTGTGACAAACCCTTAAATGTGACCTGAAGAATATAAAGATCAAAGAGTGCTGGTGTTTGGAGGTCAAAGGTCGCACCAGGTCTCTGAGTAGGTTGTGGGCCAACTGAATCAGGTTCCCCTCCAGTTTACAGGTCGGCATGGCAACCACCATCAGGTGGAGGCTGCACACTTGCAGAAGGACGAGCAGGGCTGAGGACACCGTCATGGTTCTGATGGTTTCTGTTTCAGCTGGTCCTTCAGGTGGGTCTGGCTCTGACAGTCCTGAGGTTCTGAACAGATCTCAGTTTTAGCTCAGGTTCTACAGAAAAAGACAAACGGATGTTCTGAGTTTTAAAAACCTCTACCTGAGGTGAGTCCTGGTGTTTCAGGTGATCCTGGTCCTGGTTCTGGTCTGAGCTGGACTGAGATGGTTCAGGTGTGCTTTGTGAGTCGGCAGCTTCAGGTGAGTTCAGATAACCTGGAACACAGAGGAGGAACTTGGTTGGATGTCAGAACCAATCAGGAGCCATCTACCTGTGTGAGTCATCCAGCGTCTGTTCCAAAACCACAATGGCCCAGGACCAGGTGAGTCACTGCAGGTTCCCTCAGGTACCTCAAGACCACAGCAGCAGAGACCTGGACCAGGTGAGTCACTGCAGGTTCCTGCAGGTTCACAGTCTTTCAGTGTGGTATTAATAAATTTAATGTGTCTGAGTCTCACAGTGAGGTCTGGAGGATCTGGTCTCAGTCTGCAGCTGTTGGTATGTGTCTCTGTGGAGACAGTTTGATGTTGGACTGATGCTGTCGAGGTTCTCATCTCACCTCAGACTCTAAAACATTTAATTTGATCAGCCTAATGACGAATTCACCTTCGTCTGTTCGTTCAAACCTTTATCATCATTAATCTGTATGTGAACCAACACAGAGCGTCCCAGAGTCGGCGTCCCAGAGTTGGCGCCTGAAGGACTGAAGGACGGACGTCCAGAGCTCAGATCTGTTACATCACTTCCTCTGTCAAAGGTAAAACAGTCAGAATCTGATGACTGATGACTGTTCTGAACCGACCTGATGGCAGGACCACAAACACACTGAAGGTACCAACTCAACCCTGAACCTGAACCTGAACCTGAACCTGAATCCAAACCCTGGTTCAAAGTCTCCTGAGACCTTCATTTGATTCATCACAGCTTTAAACAACCTGCTCGTTTGTTTCTATTTGATGCGTGATTATGATAATGTACGATCCTGTGTATGAAGACAGATACAAATTCTCCTTCATACCCTCTGCCATCTAACTGCTTAACTCTGTACAGTACAGGTAGCATCATCATTAGTTCATATTTTATTCAAGTATGTGTTTTTATTTATTTAGTTACGACTCATTTTATGTGACTGTTGCCTTGTGTGTGTCAGCCTTGTTGTTGTCATTGTTGTTTGTTGCTGTTGTTTTTATTGCTACTGCGGCAGAATCAATTGCCCCTCGATGACAAATAAAGGTCTTGAATCTTGAATCTTGAAAGACAGATCTGATCCAGACCATCATAACCCCCACACACAAATCCTGAACCTGAACCTGAACCTGATCGATGAGGTGTTCACATGAGCGTAGGAATAAAATGAATGGTTGAAGTTTTTCAGATTGAAACATCAGAGGTGAAAATATGACAAAGACGGCAACACCATGAAGTCAAGTTTCATTTCACTGGAAATAAAATCACACTGAAAACTGATATTAAACACATTCATATGAATGTATGAAAATACATGAACATACATGAACATATATGAACATATATGAACATACATTAACGTCAGTATCGGAGTCACACGTCTGCACGTTGACAAAAACGTATTAATAATATAAAGTTTGAGTATTAATGAAATGAAACAGTTGAATCAGCGTCTCTATTGGCTGACTAATTTTTCCACCTCTGCTCCGACACTCGATGTTTCTGACCGCTGCGGACGAGGAAACGCGACCAGTGGAAATCACATGGCGTTCTTACCATGACTGTGAGCTGTCGTCATCTTCGATGTCACGTATGAACATGAACGACTGTGGAAATGATCAGGAAACATTTTTACACATTTGAACTTGTTTCTGTCGACGAGTGTGAAAATGACGAGCGACGCCTCGTCGCCAACAACACGTCTCTGATACTCTGTTACTGTCAGATGGTCCTTCAGTAAAAGTAACCGAGTATGGAAGTAGTTAGAGTATTCAAACTATGAACTTTATGTAACTAATGATTATTTTATAATTATCTCAAGGTATCTGAATCGAACCAGTTGCATTCGATTCAGAGACACAACATCTGAGTAAATATCATCACTTACTGACGACTGAATTAATCACTAAATTATGAAA